CTTCGGTAGTTCTGTGTGCTGAACAGTGGCTCTGTTGGATACTTGCAAACATGGGTTTGTGGAATCCAGATGTAATGAGTGTGGAGGACCGAATGGTGATTCCAGATTAAATGCATGAGGATGACATGGAAAATCCTGATGAAATGAGTAAGGAGGCCAAAAAGGAGAATCTGGACAGAATGGGTGAGGAGGACAAAATGGAGTTGAGTCTCCTGCTGCTGGTGTTGGATTTACTGGATAGCATAGAAGAACAGCTAAGTATCACAACGTATGCTATGATAATGCTTGTAAACAGCTGTGATAAGATGCTGGCACATAAACACACCTCCTGGAAAAGGCAATTACATGTGTGGTGGAGTGGGATAACTGAGAGGCAGGCATGGAACTGGTGGCTGACAGGGCTCTGTGGATCACCCTCAGGAAGAGCAAGTGCAAGGACTGGGCCCACACAGGAAGCTCAGACTGGTGGGAACAAATCATCCTTACGACTTGGAATAATCAACAGTGGCTGGAGACATTCTGAATGACCAGGGAGACATTTAATCACGTCATCTTGATGCTGGGGCTGAAAATACTGAGGCAGGACACTGTGATGCGTCGGGCCATTGCACTGGGCAAGAGGGTGGCTATGGCCATCATGAAACTGGCCACCGCTGCTAGTCTCCACTACATCATGAACAAGTTTGGCATGGCTCCCTGCACGCCCGGGATAGTGAATTGTAAGGTATGCTAGTTGCTGCAGGATGTCATAGCCAACAACTTTATTTGCCACAATAACCCCCAGGAAGTTATTGATGATTTTAGTGCCATGGGGTTTCCTAACTGCATGGGGGCTTTAGACAACACACACATCCCTGTGTAATCCCCTTGCAGGCAATTCACTCATTCATGTACAGGAAGGGATGTGATGCCACCAGCTGTTGTGCACTTTTTTTTTGTTCCTTTAATTTATATTTGTTGTTTTTTATATTTATTTATTTATTTGTTTTTATTGCAAAAAAGTTTTAATTCTTTTTTTCTTTTGTAAATACAAGGTTGTAATTTATACAGTTCCTTCTGGATGTGGTGTGTTTTCTTCATAACCGGTGACTGTAGGTGCGGGAGTGGGGAGGAGGACTTGCTGGAGTGGATGGAGGGGCTTCCTGTGGTTACTGGAATGATGAGTCGATGGCCACCACTGGGGACTATGGCAGGGCATGGGGGGAGGGGGCAGCTGCCTGGGCAGGGAAATAGGGTTATTGTTTGCAGGCTTCCAGCTGTGGTGGAGAGGGGGAAACCATGCACTACCTGGTGCTTGACACCTGGTACAGGTCCACAACCCTAGGTAGCCTAGCCATCCAGGATGGACCATGACCCTTGAAGTGTTAATGAAACCATTCTTTGGCACTGGTGGGAGGAGTGTGAGGTGGGGTGGTATGAGCCTGCAGGTGTCTGTGGCTTTTAATACTATATGCAGCCAGCTTCCAGCTTTTAATGCTATATCCAAGTAAAGTGTAAAGAATATTTTCAGTAAGAAAATAAAGGTATCAATTTCAGACAGTTATTCCTGGACATGCTGCAATGAAACTTTGTAACATGCCAGCAGGTCCAGTGGCAAGGTGGGGGTGTGGGGGCTATAGCCATCCCAAAATTGCATAGAGCTATGCCCATAGCCACATGCATCTGGCCAGGTATTCATGGCATCATAGCACAATTGCTGCAAGGGTCTCCATGGAAACCGGCCCCAGGTGCAACCACAGGAGATATTGGGAAGTACAGTCCTTAAAGAAAATGGAGGACAGACAAAAGTACTTCCTTCCCCCAATGCAGAGCATATTTTGGTACCCCATAGTGTTGTTGGTGCACGCACCACCACCGCC